TTTCCCTACTTAACAAGTTAACTGGAGAAATTTCTCCTTAAGAATAAATAAAGGGAGTCCTTCTTATTTTTTTTCAAATATAGCAGCCTTTGTCAACTGGGGTTCCATAGGGGAACTAGGCCATACAGAAAATTATTTTCGTGACTATTTTCTCAGTTCTGCCAAGGATGCAATGAAGCTAAGGCCGACCTGGAACACAGAAAGTTATTTCCTTACAGAGGATGGATACCTGGAGGCATTAGGGCTTAATTCTCCTGTAGAATTCTGGTCCAGAAGACCTGGCCTATAGCATTTTTTGTAATATCATAATAACTCATTCTTTCTAGGTATTTGCAATTTCAAACAATGTAACAAAGTAAACCTTATATATGCAACATTTTGCTTATGTGAAAATATACACAAAAATGGAATGGGTGGCTCCAGGGTACATGCCTTTGTAATTTAAGTAGACATAGCCAGAGGTTCACTATTAGATGTTATACCATGTTCCATGTCCAACACATGACAATAGTCTCACCTACAGGAATCTTTGGGGTTTTGCCACAGGTGGCAGAACTGTAAATTATTAGCTTGCATTTCCTTTCCTGTTTTAAAAATGTTTAAAATTTTTAATTTATTTTTGGCTGCGTTGGGTCTTTGTTGCTGCACGCGGGCTTCCTCTAGTTGCAGCAAGTGGGGGCTACTCTTTGTTGCAGTGCGTGGGCTTCTCACTGCGGTGGCTTCTCTTGTTGTGGAGCACGGGCTCAGTAGTTGTGGCTTGTGGGCTCTAGAGCGCAGGCTCAGTAGTTGTGGCTTGTGGGCTCTAGAGCGCAGGCTCAGTAGTTGTGGCGCACAGGCTTAGTTACTCCGCAGCATGTGGGATTTTCCCAGACCAGGGCTCGAACCCATGTCCCCTGCATTGGTAGGCGGACTCTTAACCACTGTGCCACCAGGGAAGTCCCATATTTCCTTTTGTTTTATAAGAGATTTGCACTCCAGAAAGATGCCTGGCTGCTGGGTAGAGAATGGAACTGAGGGGTTGAGAGTAGAGGGGGATGGCAAGGGATGATGATGCCTGGACCAGCGAGTGGGCTTGTGGAATGGGGAGAAGTGGACAAATGGGAGGGCTGGTCCAGGGGCCACCTGATGAGGGGTGTAGAGGGTTGGGACTCTGATGGCTGAGGAGATGGTGGGGCCAGCGCACATAACCCCCAGGCTTGGGGTCAGGCAGAGAGGTCTGCAGGGACACTTCTGGCTGGCTGGGAAGGCTGTGGCCACCACTAGGAGAAAAGAAATGGGCCCAGAGCTCAGCCTGCTGCCTCCGGTCCCCTGCCCGCAGGCAGAAGTTGCATGAGGCAGATCTGGAGCTGCAGCGGAAGCGCGAGTACATCGAGGAACTAGAGCCCCCTGCCGATAGCAGCAGTGAGTGGGACTGGGTGGCCGGCTGGGTGCAGGGGGCCCCAAGCTTGGCACAGAGCTGAGGGGCCACCTTGTTCCCCCAGCAGCCCGGCGTGTCGAGGAGCTGCAGCACAACCTGCAGAAAAAGGACGCGGACTTGCGGGCCATGGAGGAGCGGTACCGCAGATACGTGGACAAGGCGCGCACAGTGAGGACGGGCGCTGGCTGCCCTACACGCCTCCTGCCGAGGCTGCTGCCTCCCATTGGTTCATGCCTCCTGCCCCCACACCTGTCCTACCTAATCATGTCACAGACTTTTACACCACCTGTGAGGCCAAGGTCACCCTGGCTGTGTCTTCCCCAACCCCTAGGTCATACAGACCCTGGAACCCAAGCAGCGGCCACCTGGGGGAGCTCCTCCGGAACTCCACACCCTGAGGACACAGCTCCGGGAGCGGGATGTCCGCATCCGGCACCTGGAGGTGGGTGTCCTTGTCCCTTCTCACTGTCCTCAGCATATCCAGGTCCTTGACTATTGCCTCCTTAGCAGATGGACTTTGAGAAGAGTCGAAGTCAGCGAGAGCAGGAAGAAAAGCTGCTCATCAGTGCCTGGTATAATATGGTGAGTGCACCGTTGCCATGGCTGAAGTATTGGGTGGGGATGGGGGTCCTGTGGGCTCACCTGACCCCAACTATGCCCCTCCCTCCAGGGCATGGCTCTGCAGCAGCGAGCGGGGAAAGAGGGGGCCCCTGCCCATGCCCAGTCCTTCCTGGCACAGCAGCGGCTGGCCACCAATGCTCGCCGTGGACCCCTGGGACGCCTAGCACCCTTGAACATGCGCCCCACTGACAAGCATTGATGGATCTCAGGATCCTGCCACCTGTCCAGCCAATCAGGGCTTAATCCACCCTGGATTCCCCTGACTCACTTGGGCCCCAGCATTATGCCTCAGCTAGTTGCTTGAGAGCCTTAAAGTCATAATCTCTGCCCTTTTCTCTCCCAGGTGGGACGAGAGTGCAGGATGAGGCGGGAGGCAGGAATGGGCCTGTTCTTTTTAGCAATGTGATTCTTATTCTTGATTTTAGTGAGCTGCCAGGGGAGAGAGTGATTTTATATTTGAGAAGAAAGATAATAAAGACTTTCAATCTGACTTGGCTGGACTCTGGGCACTGAGGGGAGGGAGAGAAGGTAGGCCAGGGGCTCAGGTCACTGCTTTTAAGAAAATCCTAGCTTGTGTTCTTACTTAAGTGTGAGTGACCGATAGCACCCAGTAGGACGTTTGAATCATGTTTGTATCTGTGTAACTGTACGTGTGTGTGGTGGGTTTTGAAGAAGCTTCAGACAAAAATCCCTACCTCAGGAAGCTGTCAATTCCAATGGAAACAGATAATAAACAAAATAGATAAAATATTTGATGCGAGAAGTGCTACAGAGAAAAATAAAGCAGACAAAAGTCATGGGGATGCAGGAAGTGGATTTGGGAGGTGGTGATTTTTTATTTTTATTTTTTTGCGGTACGTGGGCCTCTCACTGTTGTGGCCTCTCCCGTTGTGGAGCACAGGCTCCGGACGCGCAGGCTCAGCAGCCATGGCTCACGGGCCCAGCTGCTCCGCGGCATGTGGGATCTTCCCGGACCGGGGCACAAACCTGTGTCCCCTGCATTGGCAGGTGGACTCTCAACCACTGTGCCACCAGGGAAGCCCAGGTGGTGATTTTTAATAAAAGGCCAGGAAAGGAGGCCTCACCAAGGAAGTGACATAATTTAAGCAGAGACCTGCAAGAGGTGAGGGAGGGACCATGTAGGTATCTGGGGAAGAGTGATCCAGGAAGAGGGAATAGCATGTGTAAAGGCCCTGGGATGAGACCTTGCTCGGTGGGTTAGAGGAACAGTGAGGAGGCCAGTGTGGCTGGAGTGGAGTGAGTGAGGGGAAGAATGGAGGGAGTTAAGACCAGGGAGACTGTCCAGGGCCTTGTGGGGTGTGTGGAGTACTTTAGCTTTCATTCTAAGTGAAGTGGGAGCCACAGAGTGTTCTAAGCAAAAGAGCAACATGACCTGATTCAAGTTTTCACAGGCTCCCTTTGGCTCCTGTGGGAGGAAAAGACTGCGGGGGTGTTAGGGCCAGAGCTGAGAGACCAGGTCACTAGTCCAGGTGGGTGGTTGGGTGATAGTGAGGGCTCTGGCCAGGGTGTGGACCCTGGAGGAATGGGAAATGGTTGGATTCTGGATACAGTTTGAAGACTAAGCTGATGGGATTTGCTACTGGGTTGATAAGGAGAGGGGATGAAAGAAAGAGCAGAGTTGAAGGTGACCCCCAGGTTTTGTCCTCATCATCTGGAAGGACAAAGATAACAGAGGTTGGGACAGGTGGGGAGCCGATAGGGAGCTGGTTTGGGGGCATGTTATGTTCGAGGTGCCCGTGAGATCCCCACATGCAGATGTCAAGCAGGAAGCTGGCTCTCTGGGTCTCGAGTCGGGGGAGGGATCCTGGCTGCACTTCTAAATTCAGGAGTCATCTACATACGATTGATGTAAGACCTAGAGCACTGAAGGGGTATCTGAGAGTGCAGGGGCTTGAGGCAGAGGGGTCACTTGCAGAAGCATAAATCGAGGCTGGCAGGCGAATTCCCTGGAGGTCTCGTGGTTAGGACTCTGCACTTTCACTGCCTTGGGCCCGGGTTCGATCCCTGGTTGGAGAGCTAGGATCCCACAAGCTGCACGGCAAAAAAAAAAAAAGAAGAAAAGAAAAAGAAAAACGCTGGCAGGAGAAAGCTATGGTCCTTGGACCATGAGTCCTACGTTGATTAATGAGTAAAGCCCTGGGCACTAATGGGGCCATTTCAGAGAGAATTTGGGAGGAAGTGGGCAGGGCATCATCAAATAATCTGGAGAATTCCTTAAAGCTTACTTAGCATAATGCCTGGCAGGAGCTGAGTACAAACAAACAAACCAAAAAAACGCTAAAAGTTTATTGAGCACCTATTATGTACCAAACACTTTAAAGCCGCATTTCATTTCATCCTCACAGCGCATTGAGGTGGGCACTCATATGTCCAATTTGAGGAAAGAAGAAAGGCAAGGCACACTGATAAAAACTCTCACGCAGTGGCGGGTAGGAAGTAGAGCTGGTGGTAAGGACCGGCAGTTCAAAGATGCTGGAAGAATACCCTGCCCTCAGTGCAATGCCTGGCCCACAGGAGGCGCTCCAAGCCTCTGTGCCAAACGTAAAGGCGGGACGCAGGCAGGTAAGAAGCGGGCAGGCAGAGTCCACAGGCAGCTTATAAAGCCCAAACCACTGCTTGCGGGCGGTGTTGGGGCATTTTCCCTGTCCTTGGGGATCCAGGGTACAAGGGTCTCAGGTTAGACTCTCCTTCTCCTCGCCAATGGGGCTGGGCAGCCAGGGTGGAGCCGGCCCCGGGGCCCGGGCATTGGCACAACGGTGAAGGGCTCGGCGGGTGGCCCGGGGGCTGGCGGCTCGCGGCCGGCGTGGGGCTCAGACTCCGGCTCCGGCAGGCCTGAGTGTAGCAGCGCGTCACTGCAACTGCACTCTGGGGCCGCGCCATCAGGGGCGCCCGCGCATGCGCAGCTGGCGGCTGTGGATTCCTCCGACACGCAGCTGTTCTTGCGGCGCAGTAAAGACAGGCGCCGGCCCAGCAGGCCTCCAGCGGCCATGCCCGCGCCCACCGGCAGGAGGCGCTGCAGGAAGTCGCCATGTGCATCGCTCAGCGGCGCATCCACGCCGTCCTGCCGCTGGAACTGCATGTCCTCCTTGGCCAGCCTGCGGAAGAGACAGTGGGTCAGCGCTGCGGCATCTCCCTTCTTCATCAACAGAGTTGGGACCGAGGAACGCTGCTTTTCCACCCCATTGTCCCATTTATCCCAAAAGACCTTGGCTCCTCACCCGAGAGCCTGGCCTTATCCTCTGGCTCTGGCTATGCTCAAACTTAGGCCTCAAAAGGCTAAGTTGGGGCCCTGCCACCTGTCCTTTGGTACCGCTTCTGGCCCGACCAGTCCTCATGGACTGTAGCCCTTAGCTCTGCTCCCAGTTGGTGGCCGGGTCCCAGACCTTGACCCGGATCCCTGACCCCTGCCCCGTCCTAGTCCTCATGACTTTAGCTCTTAGCCCCGAATCTCCAGGGTGTAGCCTTTAGCCCCGACCTGGCCACCCACAGCCCCTTCAATCAGATACACCCGGCAGTCATTAACCCCGCCCCCAAGAGACCCCGCCCATCCCCACTGGCTCACGTGATGTCGAAGGTGGAGCCCTGGAAGGAGGGCTGCTGCAACAGGAAGGCGGTGGCAGCGGTGTAGGGAGTGCGAGCCTCAGCTGCGTCCCAGTATAGGTCCTTCTCCAGCATGGCCAGGTCGTCGTACATCTCGTCCACGGCCAGCATTGACACCTGCGGGCGAGGATACGCGGGGAAGAGTGGGCATGGAAAAGCGCCGGCACCTCAGGGTGGACCCCTCTGGATGGGTAGGAGTGTGGTGACCAAAGAGAGAAGGGGCGATGTCTGAGCGAGTCTTAGCAGGGGTGGGGCCAGGGCCGCTTTGGGAGCCCAGGGTTGGTCTTAACCGAGAGAGTCTCACTTGGAAGTTGCGGTCGATCAGAAAGTTGGTCTCAAAGTCATCGTCGTCCTCTCCGAAGGGGTTGATAAGCTGCTCAGCTACCTGAGTGGGTAAGAGGAGAGGTAGGCGGAGAACTGAAAACCCCTGCCCGCTCCACCCCTGGAGTCCTGGCCTTGGGGCCCCACCCACCTTGAGCCAGCCCGCATAGAAGAACTGCAGCAGGGTGAAGATGGGTACGCACAGGTCCAGGTCGTGGTCTTTGTAGCCCTGCGCCGGGTCCAGGAACTGGCGACCGATGAGGCAGGCCAGGAAGTAGCTGTACACAGCGATGGTCACCACCTGGGGGAGGGGCAGGACCGAGTGCCAATTCAGGGTTCTCTGGGCCTTGGGGGGTCATGGAGAGACCAGAGCTAGGATCGCGAGTCACCGTGATGGGGTCTTAGCTGGCCCTCAGTTCCTCCTTGAGACCAACGCTCCAGGGCCTCTGACGCGGGATGTAAAGAGGCACGGCGGGGTTACCTGGGTGTAGACAAGGGGTACGCTAATCCAGTCGTAGTGAAAGAGCATCCCACACTTGCTCTGAAACACAGTCAGCTCCTGGAGGGAGATACAGGTCATGAGGGGGCCTGAATAGTGAGCTCACACATGGGGATTAAGCGGGGGGGGGGGGGGGGGGGCGGGGGTGCAGTCCAGCAGTTAAGATTTCGCCTTCCAGTGCGGGGGGGGGGGGGGGGGGGGGGTGTACCTGGGATGGAGGTGAGTGGTCACCTGGTGGGAGGCGGGCGTGTGCTTCTAGGGACTTCAGGGAGAGTATTTAGTGGTGAGTGTACACCTAGGGGCACTATGCACCTAGGAGCCGCCCCATGGAGATTAAGTGTACACCTGGGGGCTGCTAGATAAGGGTGGTTGGGATCCGCCTTGTGGGAGGCTCGTGGCAGACACACAACCTCAGGGTGCGTGGGATACAATTTCCCTGGCATTTTATATGAGTGACCACCTGGAGAGCCCACCTCCAGCAGCAGCTTAAGGGCGCCGTTGTTGCGGATGTGGCCCTCGTGCCGAGCCTGCGCCGCCAGGTTCGAGAACCAGACGCAAGGCACCCAGTACTTGTTGTAGGATGAGTTCAGGTTCTCGAACTTCTTGCGCTCCTCGCTGGTCATAAACCCTGGAGGGGCGAGGTCGGGGGTTATTTGCCCCACCCTCAGTCTTTGCGCCCCACCGCGTTCCTTTTGGCCGGAGCCTCACCTGCTTCCACCACATGGTCTATGGTGGGGAAGCGCTTGAAGACAGCGGTGCTGACAGAGCGCAGGATAAGCACAGCAGAGAGTCCTTCATGGCGCATGAGCGTGCGTCGGTAGAGGCGGCCACGCTCGTCGCGCCCATGCACTGTGCCGACCACCACGCACATGAGCGCGTCGGGCAGGGGCATGCATAGGTACTGGTTCCACCAGCGGTGCACCACGAGCGTTACGTAGAAGCCTGCAGGAGAGCCGGGAATGGGAGACTCAGTTGGGACACTAGGGCCAGGGGTTTGGGGTCCCAGCTCATGGGAAGAGGAGTGACATAGGGTCTTCATCAGGAACATGCGGTAGGCTGGATACCCAGACCATGTGGGGCCACCTGAGCTGGGAACCTGGAGATTCAGCCCTGAGGTCAGAGAGTTTGGTGCAGGCTGGATCACCCTGGCTACTTGGATGTCACCTGGGATGGGAGATTGGGATCTCCGTATAGAGGTGGAGACAGAGGGCTCACAGGCAGGTTGTCACCAAAGCCACAGGGAGCCCCGGAGCCAGGGATGTGTGAAGGGGTTGGGCATGGTGTCTAAGTCAGGGAACCTGGGGCAGGCTGGTCACCCCATCCTTGTGGGCGCAGAATGGTGGGAGGAAGGCTGAGTTCAAGTGAAGTCACTGAGGACAGGGAGCTGGGACTTGTCAGAGAGACGCCCCTCAGGCTGGACTTGAAAGGATGGAGTCATGTGGGGCTCTTGGATGGGGGTCCCTGGGGCTCAGTACATGTGAGGGGAGGCACTAGTAATCCCACGCAGACACAGATGGGAGTCCCTGAGTTGACCAGGGATAAGCCTATGCATGACACGGAGTTCTCATTGGGGGCACCTCAGGGGACCCTCTGACCAGGTGACATACAAGGTCTCAGAAATTGGGGCCATATTTGGCCTAAAGGACGCAGAAATGGGGATTTGCGGGGGGTGGCTTTGATGGGGGGGCGTCTCAGAAAGGCATGAATGGCAATGGGTTTCTCAGGATGCAGGGAATGGGGAACTCAGGAGCGCGAACGCACCGAGCACAAAAGAGACCGGGATGAGACTGGCGTACTGGTCGCAGTAAAGAACGAGCTTCTCAAAGTAGCGCTTCTGCTCTTCGGTCAGCACGAAGCTGCGAGGGAGGGGGCGCGGGATCACGGGCGAGCCCCTGTCCCCAGTTGCAGGTCTCCCTTCCAGCACCTCCTCCGGGGCCAGCCCGGAGCCCCTCCCCAGACGCCCCCACTCCGGCCGGCCCTCCCCACTCTCCCGGGGCCGCCTCACCGATAGGCGGCACTCAGCGCCATGTAGAGCCCAAGGAAACACAGCAGCTCGCGCCACAGAAGTTTGTAGATGCTCCCGCGCCACAGCAGCAGCAGCTTCGAGAAGCCGCCGAAGCGCGCGTTCGCCACGGAAGCTGTGTACGTGACGGTCATCGTGGCGCCCGGGCCGGTCAAGCCCAAGGAGAGGGGGCTGGACCGGACCCGGGATTGGGGGCCGAGGAATGGGGGGCCGGGCAGGGCTGGAAGGCTGCGGGCGAGAGTGGAAAGGTGCGGGGACGACTCAGCTCCGCGTCACTTTCCACGCCCGGCCACCTCCTCGGTACCGGCTCTGGCTCAGCTTCCCGTCCCCTCCCACCTGCTCAGTCCTGCCCTAGCCCCCAGCCCTCCTCCCCAAGGCCCTCTGGCAGGCCACTCCCTTCCTTGGACTCCAGGTCCCAGCGTCCTGCGCCGACCTCCGCAGGCCCTCTCCGTTCATCCTCCACCGCCAAGGCCCTTGGTCCACCGAGTTAACCCGAGCTGCCATCTCTGATCCCATACCCCTTACCTGGACGCCATCTACAGCCTCCCCCCCGCTCCCCGAGTCCCTAGCGCCTCAGTTTCTATGTTCCCGGGACTCCAACTGACTTCCTTCCCTCAAGTCCCACTTCTGCTTTCCCTCCCCCTACTCCCCTAACCCAGTCTCGGCCCATTCTCTCCCCTGCATCTCCTTTTGAAGCCCTCCAAAGCCGGATCCCCAAGCTTCCAGGCCCCAGGTCCTCCCCCATAGCCCCTCAGCCTCAGGCTGGCTCCTTCTCCTGCACAGCTGCCCCAGCCTATCCTCCTCCCACTTAATCGAACCGGCTCTGTCCCCTCCCTCTTCTGGATCCACCTAGACCTTTCCTCTGTCCATTCCCCTCTAGCCTTCTGAGCCCTCCACACCCTACCCTGAGGACTCAGATTCTTGCCCACAGACCGACTAGTCCTCAAGTTTCCCTATTCCCCCAGGCCTGGGTCCTTCTCACCTGGTGGCTGGTTCAGGGACACTCAGGGACTGGGAAAGGACGGGCTTCAGGGTTGGGTGGGGCTGAAGCCAGATTCTGTAAGGGAGGGGGCTGGGGAGTGGGTGTGGGTGGCCCCTCCCTGGCCCTCCCCCTCAGTTGCAGCCTCAGAACTTTGAAGTCTCATCAGTTTGTCACCTGGGGCAGGGGGTGGGGAATTCACCTTGTCCTCCTTAGCTCCTTCCTGTCCAGTCTCCCAGTCAGTCACTGGCAGATCCAAGAAATCTTGGACCTAGACCTGGGGGAGGGGGCAGGAACCCTGTCTTTACCAGACCCAGACATATACACACACTGCTCAGTGAGTCTGGGTCGCTCCACACTCACCTGTAATCACACACAAAGATGCACCTAGAAACACACACCATAGACCCAGACACAAATTCAGCTTTCCTCAACACAGCCTCCCACGACCACGGTGACCCAGAAAGCAGTATGCACTGTCACAAAGACTTCCAGAGTCACCAAAGAGACAACACTTAGCCCCCCCACCCCCATACGCAGATATAAAGCAGATGGACCCTAACCCACCAGGCTCTCAGCTCTCAGGCACCCACGTAGTGCTCCAAAGAGCCACCCAGGAACACAGGGGCAGGGACCAAGTCACCCTGAATTCCTTCATGATCATACTATGTAATAAAGACACACGCAAGGTCACACAACCAGCCAAGTGCAGACCCCAGCCCGACCCCAGAATGCCTTCACACGTGAGCCATCACACAGAGGGAGGTAGCAGACATTTATTCCTGATCTCCCCTGCACAAAAACGCACCATGGCCACACACCAGATGCAGGAGCACCTGCCCTCAGCACAGCAGCACACAGTCCTGGGGTCAGAGCTGGGTCCTAGGGAGTCCCTTCGATATACCAGTGTAGCAAAGACACACTCATACAACATCGACCCCTCCCAGCAGTCCCACAGACCCAGAGGGTCACATCCAGATGGAGTCAGGCCATAACCCCTCAAGAAACTCACCTGCATTCATTTGTACATCAATACGTAAGACACACCCTCCCCAACACCCCCTCACTGCGGGCAGCAACGGGCAGGCACACACACACCCTGGGTCTCAGATACTTTGGGCGTTGTCATGAACATACAAGCTTAGGGACACAAAACCTTGTCTCCACATTTGGCATGGATACAGGATAGATGTTCTCCTTTTACAGACACACCTACAAAGCGGGCACTCTAGCCTGGCACAAACAACCCTCCATCTTCACCATTGAATGCATAGCCCAGTGTGGGAGGGGCAGATGCTCAGGGTTTCAACTCCAAGAGGGGCGCCCTGGGGCGCCTCTGAGCCTCTCAAGTCCACCCCAGCACCAGGAGTGCACATGGCTCCGCTCGACCCTGCCCCCGAAGGTCCGGCCAGCCAGGACGCCGTGTCCCTAACCTGGCAGGTGTCTGCCCAGCCCGGGGTAGTTAGGAACCAGCTCGGACTGGCTGTACTCAGACCCGTGCCTCTGCCGTCCAGCTGCTGGACAGCACATAAAAGAGGATGAGGGGTGATGCTGCCATCTACGGGAACTGGGGAGGGGACAGGCTTCAGGTTGATGGGCTCCATACCTGACCAGAGGCCCCTATTCCCTTGGATGTATCCTCACACACTGCAGCCAGCCCTCCCCTCCACAGCCCCCATCGACCCCCGTGCTCATCTCCCCTCCTCCAGCTCACTGTCCCCACACACTTCTGACTGCTGGACCCCTGCTGGGGCAGAGGCGGGTTGCCCAGGCTAGTTCACATGCTTACTAATTGTTACAGTGAATAGTAACAAATAGTCCTTGGCAGGTACATGCCTGGGGCCACTGTAAAGGCGTTACCTATTTCATTTCATTGTGTCCTCAAAAGCAGGAAATGTGAAGTTTGTGCTCCTTATTCCCGCTATCAAGGTAGGGAAACTGAGGCTCAGAGGACGCACAGTCTGTTCATGGCACAGCCAGGATCCGAACCTAGGCAGTTTGGTTTGGAGCCTGGGGTCCTGCCATGGGCTGCACTGCCATGTTCGTTTACAAATACCTCCTCAATGTGGGCGTGCCCACATGGGCTTGTGTACACCTGACTGATCTGGGGGGACACGTCTAGGCTCATGGTTGCATTCCCCTCACACACACACACCCTGGCACGCCTAGACCCTGGGTGTGCACTGTCTGAACACCACTTCCTGACTCATGCATGTCCTTAGTCACCCCCTTTCTCCCACCATCCCCATCCAGCTCCAGCTTGGAACTTGCAAACGCCCAAGGTCATGCCAGTCCTGGGTCTTGGGGATGACTGTGACTGTCCAGGCAGTGGCACAGGGAGGGGTGAAAGAGAGAAGGGGTGCTGCTTTATGCCTTTCAGGCTGGTTTGCTAACCCTCCCAGGGTCAGGTGAATTTGTGCCATGGCCCTATGAATGGCCACACTTCTGTCTCCATTTTAGGAATATGGGGACTGAAGCTCAAACTGCAGGAAACAGGTGGCAGGCCACTCAGTGAGACTGCTCTGGGGGCAGGACAGGACTTCAGGACCCGTCCAGCCTGAGTCCTTTGTCATCCTGCCCCTTAATCAGCCCCGCTGTTGCAGCCCTGTGCTGGGAGAGGCTGATGCCATTCCATGTAACAGGAATTGGGAGGTGGGGGTGGAAACTGTTAATCCGCAGTCTGGCAGGCCCAGCCTCTGCCCAGGGTGCCCACTAATTCCCAAACCAAACAGCAGGCAGTGCTGGGCCCGCTGCCGACCTAATCCGCACCCCACCAGCCTGGGGCTGGCCAAGGGGCCTCCCCATTCCCATGCTCTGAGCCTTGAAGGAAGTGGGCAGATGCCCCTTTCTTCTACTCCAGGCCTTACAGCCCCAGAGGACACCCTTACCCATATAGAGCTAGAAAAAGGCACCCCTTTACAGAAGAACCCTCCTTCCAAAATTACAATAAACACACATCTCTATTAGGTCTCTGTTGTGAGAGACCTAAACATACATCTATGCCTCTCTGGATGTGACATCTTCGTGCAGTGTACAACCTTTTCAACTGTACATGGAGGTATTAGGCCCCAACCCCCCATGTCAACATCCACAGTAGTTTAAGATCATTTTATTGAGGGAGGAGAGGCAGGGAGAGGTGCGGGGGCAGCTACAGCTCCCCCAGCCCCACCAGGGGGAAAAGACCCCCTCCCCGCCTCCCTTCCCCCAAGTGGCTCCCCTGTATTATGGGGGAACTTTGTGCAAACTCTGCCCCGGTGGGTGGCGGCTGAGTGTGAAATGGCAGCAGCTGGGGCTGGTGGTGGTGCTACTGGGCACTGGGGGGCTTGTAGGGCTCCAGGAGAAGAGCAGAGAAGGTGTTGACCTTGTCCGCCCCCCGAACTTCATGGGGCAGCAGTGGCAGCTTCACAATGTGGAAGTCTTCATATAGGTCCTCCATCTGCGGCAGCGGTAGAGGGCAGAAGGCAGCAGGGCCACAGGGTAGGGATAGAATGTGATCAACGTAAAGGATCAGGCTAGGAGTCTCCCAGAGTCAGGGAGAGAATATGAGCAAGGGCTTCACAGGGACATAGGTGGGAGTGGCGCCAGTGAGGTCAGAGACCACTGGGCTGGACCTCCCACTCCCCAGGGTGAGAGGTATCTAGGCCAGGCCAGCCAGTCTATGAAGGCCAGAATCAGAAGGTCTGAAGCAGTGGGTGAAGGGCAGGGGGTTGAGGCGAGGAACAGAAGGTGGGCTGGAGCAAAAGGTCAGAGAATACAGTAAAAGGTCAGCAGTGCCTTGGCTGGGCTGGGCCAGACCCCAGCTTCCAGGGTCAGAGGTATGAGGGCTGGGCGGGAGGGTGGGTGTGCGCACCTGGTCCAGGTACTTGGCCTGGATCTTGTGGCGGGCCTCACACATCTTGCAGGGCTTCTCGGGATCAGGGAAGACGAGTTGGTTGACAATGATGTTGTGAGTGTCGATCTTGCACTTGGCCAGCTCCTGGATCAGCCGCTCCGTTTCATACAGGGACAGGAACTCAGCAATGCACACACAGATGAAGGTGGTTTGCTCCTGCAGGATCCAAGACAGGACAGGGAGGGGCAGATTTCAGCCCTGTCTCTTTCCCCTGAGCTTCTCGCCGCCCGCCTGGACCGCAACTCACAGGGTCCTTGAACTGCTCACTGACGGAGCGGATGACAGGCAGCGTCTCCTCCAGCTTGGAGGCCAGCTGGTCTGCGTTCATGTCCCCGAGGCCCAGCATGTTGCACATCTGTGGGGACGATGTGAGAGGGCTCATGGTTTACCTGGGGCGCATTATACTCCCTGGGTTGGGCTCACTAGACACCCGGGGGATGACTCCTGACACCTCCCAGCGGTTAAAGGTGTGGGCCCTTGAGCAGATCGCAGGGGTCCAACCCTGGCTCTGCCATTTCTCCGGGACTGTGGCCAGGTTAGCTTGACCTCCCAGAGCCTCAGTTTCCTCATGTGTAGAGCTGTTGTGCTGTATGACAGGCCACGTGCTTGGAACAGTGTCTGGCACACAGTAAGTGCCCCACAAATGTGACCGAGGCACAGGTCCCCGCCGGGGGACCACACACAACCAAGGAGGTGGCAGTGGTGTGCAAAGGTGTGAAGGCATCAGGGTTGTCATGTCGTGCTAATAATAACCCATGGGGGGATTCGCATGCTCTCCATTTGACAGATAAGGCCCAGAGAGGGGAAGTGACTTGAGGTCACACAGCTGTGTCACACCAGAGTGCAAAGCATTCGAACCTGGGCCACCTGGCTCTGGGATATGTGCTTTCAAGCTCTGTCTGGGGCACTCAGCGGGTGGAGGTGGGGACACTGAGTGCTGTGGAGTAGGGGGGACAGTTCCCCCGCAGTGAAGATCCATCCCATCCATTGGGAAGTGCTGACTGAGAGCATATGTGGGAAATGCCTTTGTTACTGCACATCTGGGGGTCCGGGGGCCCATTCTGACTCAGGGGACTCCTGGATGCCCTGGGGCTCTGCCTGCCTGTGAGATGAAGGGGCTGATCTGGTTCTTGATCTGCATGAGGCGGCCTAGTCCCCGCTCGACGATGGTGGGGAAGTTGAGCAGTCTTAGCGTGTGGCCTGTGGGCGCTGTGTCGAACACCACCACCGAGAAGTTCATGCCCTTCACCAGCCTGCAGGGAGATGAGGATCAGGCCCGCTCTGCCCGCTC